CAGCGAACCAGCCGACAAGAAGGCCGAGGTCCAGTATCTCAAGAAACTCTTCTACACTCACTAAACAAGAATTATATGTTTGACCATAAAATAAGCTAGACAGTGGGGCTGGGAGAATATATATTTTGGGGGCCCCACAAGATAGTTTTGCCGTTTTTTGAATATTTTAGTCGTCAAAAACATCGGAATGTTCTGAAACGTGTAGTGTAAAGCATGCGAATACTGTAGAATTTATTGCCGACTGCTCTTCAATTGTAACCTGTCGCTGCATACACTTCATAACGAGTAGAAGAGTAAAACACGTTTGAAATTGAGAGGAGCATCCATCACGCCGCGTCCAACACGCTCGATAAAAGTTTATCAAGTCATGGTCCGCATGCCGGTCAACAAGCTATCAACGCACAAGAGGGCAATTATCGTTAAGTGTCTTTTAACGTTTGCAGTAATGACTATGTTCTGTAAGCACTGCAAATTCCTGTGCATATATTACGCGTTTCTGCTATTGCTGTCTGCTCAGGTCTCTAATGGTGAATCCGCGAGTGATGTCGAAACGTCAGGCAAATAAATATGTTGTTCCAGCAATCGAATCTTCTTCTTCTCAATCCCTTCCTGGGCATGCTTGCATTGGCATGCTTTAACTTTTAACGAAAAAAACTGATGCAGAAACAGTATGATCATGACATATTACCAAGTAGAATAATCAGTAGACTTGACAATTAAAAAACACTCTTTAGGGAGGAAAGTAGGGGTAAACTTTAAGGCAAAAAGAGGGAGAGAAGTGCGTAAATGAAGGAGCGGGAAAAAATTCTTCGAACTCCTAATTTTGAATGTTTAACGCGTGCTGGGAAACTTGTGGGAGCTCAGTAAATTCGGAAGCATTACTGATTCGCGCTTATTGGAGTAAAATCGAAGCAAAGGAATCACCTTTTTAATTTAAAGAACTATTTTCTGATTGCGGTTTGAAATTTGACATTTGAATTTTTGTGCAAATAGCCATAGATGGCCTTCGAATTCTTACAGGAGTCCATATACAGAGTTGTATGTGCAGCATGGCGAATGCTGCATGCAACATGCTTAAGTTTGTAAATGTTTGAGCATTGCTCGCATACCGGCGTTAACGCATTTGGGAAAACTTAGAGATAATACTGAGCAGCATTAAGCATATTAAGTAATGAAAAAAACTAGAAGAAGTACAAAGTGTTTTTTAAGAAGAATAACATTTTCCCGATAACGCCCAAGTTCCAGAGACGTGAAAATAGCTATAAATTAGAACAATGAATTTAAATCTTTCCGTAAGGTGAAAACGGAATGTGACCAATTTCTTTATTTAAAAAGAACTGTTATTTTGTCAAAGTATTTTGTATATATTACTAATAGCGGATAACTATTTATTGAATATCGTCCGATAAAGTCTGGCATCATTTCAATCGTTTTTAGTGTCTTCAGTGATAAGTTGATTTATTGTGTTTCTGTTCGACGCATAGAAAAAAACCTTGAAAATAAGATAAACATTAAGAGCTTTTACCGAAAAAATGATTTTATGGATATAAGTTTTTATGAAGATGGCCATGTGGGTCATACATAGAAATTCCTCAAAACAGCAAACCATAATGTCGAGAAACAATAGCGTCCGCAAGATAACTCGGATATTTTTATTCTTAAGATTAATCAATGAACTTCCCATAATAGTTTACCTACTTAAAGAGTGCTTTATTTAGATATTCAACTGACGAATTGCTGTGTATACAGTAGTCGCTGGTTAG